TTTTCAATTATCGAGAATATTATTATAGTCAATGGGAGTACAGACACTACGAGGGTAAACAAAGTACAGAGCACAGGTCTTCATAATGCACTCGCTCGGATGCCGCTCCTTCTTAAAATCAAAATCCAGATGGCTTGAACACGATCTTCTGAACAGAACGCAAGAATAGAGATTAGCATAAGAGATTAGCACCTCATGCCGTAAGCAACGAACCCGCAAAGCGAAGGCTAGCTCGCAACTATCGAACTAACGCTTCAATCGCGCCTTGAAATACAGCTCGTTAAGGTTGTCAGAAGAGCGGGATCACTTGTGAGCCCTCAAATATTTACATCGTGTGCAGTTTCGCCAATAACCTGCAGAAGTTTACTCGAACCGTGACTTATGCTTGTACTTGAGCGACGCAGAAACAATCGATATCGGATAGGCTAAATATGAGGACGTAGTATTCTGGAAGCCAGCCCGTAAACCTCCAACCGCCGTCGTTTCATAAGCAAGTTGAAGAAATTTGAGAATGGGTCACCAACATAGGGACTAATCGCTAATTCTGTGATATCCGTCGTTTGGATTTTTCACCTCTGGTAATGGTTACCATTTCCGCAGAGGTCCAGCTGTATGAATATGAATATTATTGGCAGCCCGCTACTTTATACATCTAATATCACGTTGGTACAGATATTGTGTTTGCGCACAAACAATCAAAGTGGCCAATAAATCAAAGCCAATACTTGCTTTGGCTATTGAAGTAAATTTTCATCGATTAATTTTTTTCATCCTGAGGTTCCTGCACTCGTGACCTGAGGCAAGTAGCAACATATGAAGACTGATAGATGAGTGTATGGACAGATTGAATGAGCTCTGATACTGTTTCGATACAGGTTACACCGACTGAAAGCGTGTGAAAATCAAATTTCAAGGAGCAAGCAATACAAAACCACTGAGTGAGCATGACATAACGAAACAAGTTCATTTACAGGACTTCAGGCCATTCGTCATTTGTGACTTTAGTAAACAATCATGTACCACATTCTGTGTTTGATGCTTCTTATAGAAAGCAATTTAAAATACTGTTCACGAATCCAGCGTCCGTTCATCGCCACAAAGAAGAAGCAAAGGATCAGGCTGGTGATTGATGAGACCGGTGCGGAAGCACTGAAAGAGTGACAGGAACGGTTTTCCTGGCACTGAATCTTGAAATGGTCGGTTAACGAAATAATGCATGGAGGCCTACTTTCTTGGAACGATTGAAACAAATCTGTCACTAGAAAGTGACTAGAAACCAGAGTAAAATAAAAAGAGGGGGCGCAGTAGCACAACGGCAAATGCTCAGCTTCGAATTTGAGAAGAACCGGGTCAGAATCTCAAAAATATAAAAATTTCTCTTAATCGCTAAATCCTTTGAGCAAAGAATTCGCTCGATATTGCTTCAAGGCAATCAGCAGAGAAACGGTGAAAAGGTCGTTGACTTGCGAAAAGCTATGCGACAACGTAATGCTTCGGTGCGGTCATAACAGAATGGACGAGAGTCACGACCATGCTACCCGTTGCAAGTGCCCGTCAGGACTATAGTCCGCCTTGACCCACGAGACGCCCGATTGTCTACTGCAGTAATCAGTACAGAGCGAAAATTTTGTTGCTGCTGTTTCTGTTGCAATCAACGCTATCCCATTCTGTCGCTGCTCAGATACCTCCATAACTGAACATTCTGAAACGACCCGTTAAACGTAGTACTTTCAAAGAGATCCGTATCATCGCGCTGCCGATGAATGAGGACGATTGATTAGTGAGGGCCTGGTCGATAGATTTTAGCTAGTGCTGCAAAACAGCTTTCCATGATCTGTCCTATCCTTGGTCTGCAATTGCGCAGTGCAGCGAGAAACCACAGAACCCTATAGCGCCGCAAGACGAATCACGGCTGAACATGTACTACGGATATCTAGAGCGAACGAAAAACTGAGAAATGAGGAAAAGGTAAATTTCCTATGGACCTCTTCTGGCGAATTAAAAATGCTCCCATCAGGAAACTGCCCTTGTGC